CACCCTTCTCCCCACTCTTCACAGGGTTCCAGCTCACACTTAATAATTCATGTCCCTTCTTGCTGAACAGACTGCTGCCCCACTGAGAGATCACATGTCTTCCACTCCCCACTTTTTCTAGACCCTCAGCAAATCTATTCCCACCCCAGCTGTGTGCCCCAGGCCTGTGTTCTCCTTCCACAAAGGATTCCAAAGCCTCTCCAGCTGAGCCTGAACACTGACCCTTCTACTTCAACCTTGATGTTGTAAAAGAAGCCACATTAGAAAGCAAATGGATCATGTCAAATATAGCCTTTTGTTGCACCTTAACGGGAGTTGATTAAACAGACACCAACAGAGGGATGATTTCCCATGGATTACCCTAATCTGATTCCTCAGAGTGTGGGATAGGGTGATGATAATTTGAGTTCTTTTCACTCCCCCATTCCTGTCTTCAATCTTGTCTGATTTAACCACGCTTGAGAGATTCGGCCTACTAGCATTCACTGACTCAGGATAAATACATTTTCAAATTCCATGGATTACATTCAGTGAAATTGAAAGTGAAGCTCATTTCTTGGAGCGCTCCTAGCTGATGTCCCACATGGCTTGATGTGCACAATTTCTGCTTGAGTCATATTGATGCCTCTTACTTGTGCTCATGGGCTTAAATCACTCTCTTACATCCACTTTATGGGAGAGGCTCCTATTCTGAGAGAAAGCTTTGAGGGATCAAGAAATCTACTTCTTTTGAAATCCACTATTTTGGATTGTGTTTTATTTCAACCTGATTATAATGCATTTCCAGTCAGTGGGCTCTTCCAAATATAATTATTTTAAGTAATGCTGATAATACTTAGAATTATAATCAATCTATAGGCATATGAGCTAAAGAAGCACAGGAACCGCACTTACAAATGTTCCATTTAAGTTTCATTTGTTAGGGTGATATTTGCTGCCAGATGGTACAATGCAGGCTAGCATATGTGACACTAAATAAAGGGGATGACACGGCAATTCTCCATTCTGCCTACAATTGATTGAACCCTTAATTAGAGAGAGACACTTTCCTTATTATGTTGTATTTTGCCTGATATTTTAATTGTGTAGTAACTGCCTGTCTCTTTGCTCAGACTGAAGATGCAGAACAGCATTGCCTATGACAATTCCTCGCCTTGTCTCAGAACTGCCTGGTCATTACCTGCTTTCACTGTAGTGTGCACATTTAGTCACATCATGCCAGCTGCACTGTGATTGCCAATGACTTGCCAATTCTTACCAGCTCTTCACTTGCACTGAGGATGTAATTAGGTAACTCAGCGAAGATTGGGTACATTTTTATACAGCCGACTTCAGCCTTTGAAGTAGAGCCATGTAAAAAAATCACTTGATCTTTATATTTTTTTGTTCATAACTTATTATTATTATATATTTTTAGTTGTACATGTCATACATTTTTAACCGAGCCTTTGATGCTTTGGATGGATGATGCATTGCCTCTGCAACATCAAAGAAGCTCTTTGCTCTTAATATAAGCTGCCCTTAATGCAAGGCATCTCTTCAGATTGCTGCTCTCTGAAACACTCAGAAATCCATTTGCCTTGCAGCTATTTGTTTTCTAGCTCCTTCTCACTCTTCTCTCATTTTTCAGGGAACATTTAGTACATTTACACTCTCAGTGGAAAAAGAAAATAATGAGCACCCCTATACTTGACAGACAAGATCCTCTCCCAAAAGGACTATATTTAACATTTTACATATGTAAATTTCTGCTCAGGTGTTGGAAAAAAAATAATGGGAGGGGATCTTAGCAGCTTTTTTCCCTTTATAATTTTGGCTAATTTAAAATGAATTAAATGTGCCTAAATGTAATGATGCATGCTAAACATTTCAGGTCTGTAAACATTTCTAACTCATGTGACAAAGATTTATATGACTAATGTGACTGTAGATATTTATAATTGTGTTTCAAAGCAGAAATTAAAATGGGGAGAAATGTAATATTGTAGCTGTCAGATAATTCTTGAAATGCAGGAATTCTTTTCATAAAAAAAGATCTTTTACCAGGTTAAGTAAGGTACCTAGACAAACTAAATGTAATATGAACAGTACATGTGCAAGCACTGTTGGTTCTTCAGGTGGTGTTACAGGAAAGATCCTTGTAAATTGAATGTTTTTTTTTTTTTTTTTTTTTTTTTTTTTTACAATATAGTCATTCATGTGATTCATGTCTTTTAACGAGTTTGCTATTTGCAGTTTAGAAAGATAGCTTCTAAGATGCTTGGCTTCATACCTTTATTGAGCTTTAATTTCTTTGGTGGGGAGAGAGCATTTAATGTTCTCTCAGAGATTCATAAAGATGGTTTATTGGCAGATTGTGATGTATTGTGTCTCCCTTACTTATGTGATCAGCAATAATGTAAATCACTCATAATACACTGCATGTCTGCAGCTAACAGGTTTATGTTTGTCAGTTCTTTTATTAAAGTCTACAGTGGCTATAAAAAGTCTACACACCCCTGTTAAAATGGCAGGTTTTTGTGATGTAAAAGAATGAAACTAAGATAAATCATGTCTGATCATTTCTCACCTTTAATGTGAAAGTTTACAAATAAAGTGAAAAACAATCATAGAATAGAATGCTTCCAATAACCTAGTTGCATAGTTGCACACCCCTAAACTAATACTTTGTTGAAGCACCCTTTGATTATGTTTTGATGAATTTACAATGGCTATGAAGTCTACACACCCCTGTTAAAATGGCAGGTTTTTGTGAAGTAAAAGAATGAAACTAAGATAAATCATGTCAGATCTTTGTAAACATAAGTATACAAATAAAATGAAGTGAAAAACAATCAGAAACATTTATAGGGAAATTTTTTTTTTAATTTTAATTTTTTTTTTAATTAAAAAAAAAAAAAAAAACTTACAATACCCTAGTAGCATAAATGTGCACACCCCTAAAATAATACTTTGTTGAAGCACCTTTTGATTTTATTACACCACTCAGTCTTTTTGGATAAGAGTCTATAAGCTTGGCACATCTTGACTTGGCAATATTTTCCCACTCTTTCCTGCAAAAGTATTCTAGATCGGTCGAACTGTGAGGACATCTCCTGTGCACAGCCCACTTCAGGTCACCCCACAGATTTTTAGTTGGATTCAAGGCTGAGCTCTGGGCTGAGCTCTTTTTCACATTGATCTTCTTTTGGTTAAGCCATTCCTTTTTTGATTTGGACATGTACTTTGGGTCATTGCTGTGCTGAAATGTGAAATTCCTTTTAATCCTCAGCTTACTAGCAGACACCTGAAAGTTTTGCACTAAAATCGTTTGGTATTTGTAGATATTTTTGATTCCATCCACCTTGATAAAGCTCCAGTTCTGTCTGAAGAAAACCCTAAAGCCCTAAAGCATGATGCTGCCACCACCATGCTGCACCGTGGGTATGGTTTTCTTTTGGCGATGTACTTTTTTGTGCCAAACAGACCATAACACATTTTGCCACATGGTTTAGGGTGATGTAGTTGGGTTTAGATGAACACAGCCACATGCCCAATTATAAAACAGTGTGCACACTTATGCAACCTGGTTATTGTAACATTTTATTTTTTCTGTTTTTCCCAAAAATGTTTCTGATTGTTTTTCACATAATTTGTATACGTTGTAATTTCACATTGAGAGTGGAAAATGTTCTGACATGATTTTTCTTGGTTTGATTCTTTTCATCACAAAAACCTCCCATTGTAACAGGGGTGTGTAGACTATATCCACTGTATTATACTTGTGGAATATACTTTATATTGACACATTTTCTGTTTTTAACAGAGGAAAATAAGCCTCCAATCACAACCTTACTTTGTATCCATTCTCGTAGTTCACAGTTTTACCACTGACTTTATAAGCCCTCACTGCAGACTCTCTTCCCAAGACTCTTAGCCTTCTAACGCCTTAGTCCACTTCCATATGGAGGGCAGCTGAGCTGGCCATGTTTTTCAGCAGTGTGACTTTTACCCTGTCTCCTCTCCCTGTGTCCCTTCGGCAGTATGAACCAGAATGTCCCCCTCTCAGCAGGCCCAGCTGTGCCCTGAAAATGCCCTGGGGGCATGGGCCAAAATGTGCTATCCCCCTAATTACAGCAGAATGGCGTGTGTCTAGCACAGCGTCGCCGTCTGACGCAGCTCTTCTCTGTCCTACTGGCATGTGTGAAGAGATCATCAGCTGTCCTCTAGGCCTTGTCCACATTCTTGGTTGCCAGGTTAAAATGTGACTCTGATCTAGTTTTGTCAGAGTTTGGGAAGTTGTTTGGGCCAAGCACAACAGCCGTAAGTAGGAACTGCATCTGGAATTGTGCATCCAACTGGCTGCTAGTGTCCAATAGTCATTCCTCTTTCTTTTTTCAGTCATCCAGCAGATCCATACTAGAATAAAAATGTGAGCAGTGGATTTTATTATAGTTATAGGGCTGATTGTCGTAATCACTGCAGATAAGTGCACAATTAATGAAAACATGATTTGTAACCTTCTGTTTAATTCTTAGTAGTACATGTTCCATTAAATACAGCTGAAAAACAGGCTTGAAGTTCACTAAACTTGATTTCCATCATTCACTCATTTGTTCAAGCATAAACCATCCTTCTGTTACACACTACAGCCACAGTTGGATATAAGAGAGAAGATTTTCCCTAAAAACTGGGCTTAAGTCAGAACACAACCAGCAAATTCATAAACATTGTCCATAGCAAGAACAGCACAGAACTAAGAAGCAAGGACAGTAGTGGAACTGATGAACTAGTCAATACATATGACTTTTCCAAAACCAAAGGCAATATATTCATAAATGAGTCTAATGATGTTGCTATGGGTCAGTGAGTTTGGTCATGGCAGGCCACAGCACAGATCACCCCTCTAGCACAAGTTTTACACCAGGTGCCCTTCCTGATGCAACTCTCCCCATTTTCCAGGTTTGGAACCAACACTGAGAGTGCATTGGCTCATGCAACCCTCCAGTGGCTGGGGTTGGTTCCCTGACTGGGAATCAAACCCAGGCCACGGTGGTGAGAGAGCCACATGCTAGCCTCTAGTCCACCAGTGAACCACTTAAAACTGCTGGATTGTGCAATAGTTTGGTATCTGACCCCAGTATTTGCAATTCTGAGCATATATAGTATCCTACTCCTGTTATGATACTGTTTGCAGTTATGGTACTATTTAGTTGCCAATTCCAACCCAACACCTCCAACACAGCACTGACTATGAATTCCTATTATAGGACTATAAAAAGACCAAAAAAATAAAAAATAAAGATTCTATGCAATGTAGCTTTCCATATTATGGTGACGATGTTTTCATATTGAATAATATGAAATAATTTCATAGTGACTCACTACCTGGACAAGCACAGCAGTAAATCAGTGTGCATGTCTTGTTATGTGACCTTTTAGAGAGAAAGCTCCTGGATATTCAAAAAATTTACATATACGTATAATTCACATATTACAGATACATATATAGTAGTATATCAGTGTTGTACATGTTGAATGAACAAGAGTTTTTGGCAGATTTAACATTTTCAAAAGATGCTGAGACTTGCACAAAATATTATAGTTATATTGTAAAGAAAAAAGTAAGAAGTGTTATGTATGTGATATTTTTGCATTATATTTGTGACACACTCATGTCATAAACACATGATGGCAGATGTCATGTGCTGTCATGAAGTGCCATGAGAGCTTCTGTCAATTATTATAACTGTGTTAAGTTACCAATACTAGTAGCATGGTAGCTTTTGCTAATTCATTTATTACATATTTTACAAGAAATGTTGTCATGCACAGCCTGCTTTGCTCAGTCAACTTTCATGTTTGTTTTCATGTTTAGGCATGTTCTTTTTTACTTTTGTGCTAAGTCTATTGCAGATACAATAGACTTGTAGCAGAGACTGTTAAGTGTTAACATCTCATAAAGATGGTAGCTGGCCTTCTTTTCACTGTGGTTTGCATGCCAGAGGAACTCAATTGCTTTGTTTACACCAGTGAGCAGCTGCTCGCACTGTGGAAATCGCTGGTGTCCTTAGGCAAGAAACTAGAAATTCCTGTAGAACCTACGAAGCCATACAAGAGCTATAGGACTGGAGTAAAACATCCGAACAAAGAGATAAGCCTGCATCACCCACTTTCATTATGGGCAATGTAAGATCTTTCATCAACAAAATGGAAGAGTTAACAGCTTTGACGTAGAGCCAGTAGGAATATTGTAAGTGCAGTATTATGAGCTTTACGAACTAAATTAAACCGACTTCCGATGCTAATATTAACATTGTGAGCTTCCATTTCACGAGTGCAGATCATAACAAAAGAGATAAGAAGTGATAAGAAGAAAAGAGAGGTACTGGCAATGTTTGTAAACAACAGATGGTGTAATCCTGTCATGTCACTTTAAAGGAACAACTGGGCACTCCAGACATTGAGATACTAGCAGTTACCTTAAGGCCATACTGTCTGCCCATGTTATCACAATAGTAGTGTACGCCTTGCCATCTGCCAACATGGTCTCCATGTGTCTCATCATTCACAATGACTGATGGACTGCAGACTTGCCACCCACTAATCGGCTTGTCATCTCAGGATTTTAAACATGCCAACCTCTCCTGCACCCACATTTAGTCGGTTTGTTAAATGCACTACCAGACAAAACATTATTGTGGACTTACTGTATGCAAATGTCAAGGATGCATACTGCAGCTCCACTCCACTTCCCTCTTTGTAAACCCAGACCATAACTTTGTGCACCTCCTGTCTCTTTACAAACTTTGGTACTGAGACAACCAGTAGCGACAAAGATGGTCAGGAGATGGTCTTCAGAGGCTATGGATTTGCTGGGGGACTACTTTTTTTGTGATTTTGCCTTTATACACCACCTCAGTGGATTTGAAATAAAACAATCAAGATGTGATTGAAGTGTAGACTTCCAGATTTATTTTAAAGCTGAAAGTCTACACTAAAATATGGCATTACCATTGGATTTACAGCCATTTTAAGCAAAGTATCGCCATTTTCAGTGGCTCAAAGGTATTTGGACAATTGACAGACAAGAAGCTAATTGACCAGGTGTGGTCCATTCCCTCGTTACCTCAAGACAAATGAAGCAGATAAAAGGTCTGGAGTTAATATCAGGTATTGAGTTGGCATTTGGCAGCTGTTCGACTGGAGCTACCAATATGAAGTCCAAGGAGATCTCAATGCAAGTGAAGGAGGCCATCATTAGGCTGAAAAAACAACATAAATCTATAAGAGAGATAGCACAAACCTTAGGTGTGACCAAATCAGTTGGGTACATTCTTAAAAAGTAAGAAAGCATTGGTGAGCTCAACAACATCAAAAGGCTTGGAAGACCACGGAAGACAACTAAAGTGGATGATCGCAGAATCCTTTCCTTGGTGAAGAAAAACCCCTTCACAACATCAACAGAGATCAAGAATACGCTGGAGAAGGTAGGCATATCATTGTCAAAATCTACAATCAAGAGACGCCTTCATGAATGTAAATACAGAGGGTTTACAAGGTGCAAACCACTGGTAACATTCAAGGACAGGAAAACCAGATTAGACTTTGCCAGAAAACATCAAAAAAAGCCTCCCATGTTCTGGAATAAGATTCTTTGGACTGATGAAACCAAGATTAACTTGTACAAGAATGATAAGAGAAAAATATGGTGAAATAAAGGAATAGTTCATGATCCAAAGTATACCACATCATGTGTCAAATATGGTGGGGGCAGTGTTATGGCATGGGCATGTATGGCTGCCAATGGAATGGGCTCACTGGTGTTTATTGATGATGTGACTGCTGACAGAAGTAGCAAGATGAATTCTGAGATGTATAGGGCTATACTCTCTGCTCACATTCAGCCAAATGCTACAAAACTGATAAGACGCCGCTTCACAGTGCAGGTGGATAATGACCCTAAACATACTGAGAAAGCAAACTCAAGACTTTTTGAAGGCAAAGAAATAGAATATTCTTTAATAGCCATGTCAGTCGCCTGATCTCAATAGAGCTGCTTTTCACTTACTGAAGGCAAGACTGAAGGCAGAAAGACCCACAAACAAGCAGCAACTGAAGGTGGCTGCAGTGAAGACCTGGTAAAGCATCTCCATGGAGGAAACTCAGAATTTGAGTTTTGAGAATATGGGCACCAGACTTCAGGATTTTCATCCAAGTATTAAAATTATGGTTATATTTACAATTATGTCACTTTGTCCAAATATGTATATGCAGACCATCCTTGCTTTATCCCACCTGTGTTGTGTGTCACTCGGTTTTCTCCCAAATACCTTGACATTTTTTTGAATTTAGTGGCTTTACTTATTGGTTGGCATTGACATTGACTTCTGAATCCACAAAGCAAACATGAGTAGATTATATACTCTCGCTGTGAGCTGCATTGAGATGGACTTACTAACTGTATCACTGACTATATCAACTGCAATGTGGATAGTGCTGTGCCATGTATGATTTCGTGTTGCTTCCCAAACAAAAACATCTGAGTCACTAGGGACCTTAAAATTCTTCTGGATGAGAAGGTGTGGGCCTTCGGAGATGCTGCTAGGTATAAGGTGAAACGAATGCAAAAGGAGATGAAGATGAGAACCAGAGAGTGCAAGGAAGTGTATAGGAAGAAAATGGAGAACAATCTACAGAGGAGCAAGGTGAGAGAGGTGTGGAACAGAGTAAGGTAAATCACAGAATACAAACTGCCTAGAGACCATCAAGAGCAGGAAAGTGTATGGAGGGCAAACGAGTTGAATTATTTCTTCAACAGGATTGACAATGGGCTATCAACTCATGATGGACGATCAGCTCACCCATTAACTCACCCATCTCCCAGTGCACTTTCTCATCACATCCTCTTTGTCACCTCTATATGACAATGACCATCAGTATATCCCAATAACCCCCCCCCCCCCCCCCCCCCCCCCCCCCCCCCCCCCCCCCCCCCCCCCCCCCCCCCCCCCCCCCCCCCCCCACACACACACACACACACACACACCCACACCCCATCAAAGCTGAGGAATTTATGTGCAAGAATGCAGCAAGCCCTGATGGTGTCATTCCTGAAGTGCTTAGAGTCTTAAGGCCAATATAGAGAATTTAGAATTCTCTGTGTGCTTCTCTGAAAGCATGTCAGGACATCATGCACAGAGGCTCACACAGGGTGAAGTATTCATACTTGCACGTAACGTGAGCATGTCCTTTAGGAGGTGCTATTGCATGAACCACACCAGAACTTATTGATTTACACAACAATGAGCTGAAAAACAATGTGAGCTCCATTGTTCACTGTAGGAATTATAAATAGAATATAGCACGGACATAATTTTGTTCTGAAAAAAAAGTGCTGGGGAAAAAAGTATAAACCAAGTGAATTTTCACTGTAAGCATCTTAATATGTTTTAACTCATCAGCATTCAGAAATATGAGCGGTTTTTGTATATAGCACTTCAATTTAACTAGTGTTTAAATCTACAATTCTATCAATCACTAATTTACCATGCTTTAGCTTTTATTTTTATTGAGCTGCTGTGGTTTACATCACCTACACTGTGTGTTTATTGGGAGTCCATTATAGAAGAAGAAAAAAAAAGTGTGTGATCCTGCTGGATTAAACAGGCCATTATGATGAACTACATCTGTTATATAGCATCACACTTTATATATTTATATTAACACAATATCCTGATTATAATTTTCTATAAATAGATCCATTATACAATAATGTGTTCATATAACAGTGTGAAGCTAACATTAAACATGGGAGGGCACTTGCTTGTGTTCATTTACTAGCTAATCATCACTAGCTATTCAGTGTGAGAGTTTTATCACAGAGGAGAAATTTCTTATTAACGACATCAATCTGAGAAACTAACAGTGAATATATTTAAACTGCCATTTTTACAAAGCATTTTTCATTTGTTTCTGTCGTGAGCTGTTTTAAGGTTTTTAACTACAATTTCAGCAAGAGGTTTCAGAGAACAAGCTGATCTATAGGAGACAGAAAGTTCTGGATGCAAGGGAAAATTGTAGTTGTTTACAC